CTGCAGACATACCGCTGTACTACTGGGGGGCATGTATAAAGGAAAAGCAAACAACAGAACGTCGTACGCATAGGCTAGACAAATAGAACTACAACATGGTGAAAACAAAATGTACGTAGTTGTTTGTAGTAACGCTAAATGTTAAATACTTGTGAAGTAAATTAAGCTAGGTCGATATATAATAACAGTAAAAGAACATACGTATGTATTTGAATATGTATTAAGAAGTGTTATGTATACACTTAAATACTTATTTAAATTCACGCATATTAACATAACTCATAAACGCATATACAACCGAAGGAACATAGTTTTGTATAACTAACTTCACCGGAGGCTTAACGGTAAGCTTGAAGAGTTAAAATGCTAAAATTTAATCCAGTAAGTCCACATCCATCATAAATAATAAATATCAAAACGATCGTTGAGATGACTAGTTGAGTCTTAATATTCACTTAGTCGTTTTGTGAAACGTTCGTTAAGTTAGGCTCATTTTGGTTATCCTTAGCTTCTGAAGAAACTTAAAGTGTCTAAAATTAAATAATGTTAATGTGTTTAAATTTATATATCACCTATTGGTGTGAAATAGTCGATATTCTTCAAGTAATCAGGGTTGTAAGTTCGTTAAGTTAGGCTCATTTAGGTTATCCTTAGCTTCTAAAGAAACTTAAAGTGTCTAAAATTAAATAATGTTAATGTGTTTAAATTTATATATCACCTATTGGTGTGAAATAGTCGATATTATTCAAGTAATCAGGGTTGTAAGTTGGGCCTGTGGTAGAGCTCTAAGTGTAATCAGGGCTCTGAGTTGGCCCTATGGTAGAGCTCTAGGTTTTAGAGCTGACGAGCCAAGTTAGAATTCGTGCGATACCATAAGTTATTATTTGCGCTTTAAGTTATAATAAGTTTGTTTTATTGTTGCTATGATCTTCCCACCACGGGTATTGATACCCGAGTTTCATTGTCGTAAGCCTACTGACCGCTGAGCCTCTAGGGACACATTAGAAGAGTGATAGCCAATCTCTTATGGTTGATGGTGAGTCACAGGGTACTGTTGACTGGCTGCCTTCCCTTTGGCTATTAGTTTAAAGTAAGAGACGGCAGCAGAAAACCTTATAAATTTTCTTTAATAAAAACACAAATTTATGTAATTCTTAGTAAATAACTCTGTTTATGTAAAACAAGAACTCATCAAACACTGTAAGTTTCATATAATTTAAGTTCATTGAATCATTAAGTAATAAATAAATTAGTTATTCCAAGAACTTCTGATACTTAATAAGCATGTTCTCGTACATTAATGTGTCTGCCTGTTACTACTATTATCCTAGAGCCACATTCATTAATTCATTTTGTGCCATCTCCGTGACAAAGGTTTACAACAATGGCTGTTTGAGCCCTTCTTCTGCACTCTGAAATATTAAGTCCCGACCACTCTTTGATATTATCCTCCCATTTCGTTCTTTTTCCACTTTTCTTTCTAGCATAAACTTCTGTATCCTTCTGTGCCTTTTTTGTATATCCTGTGTATTCTGTTTTATTTTGCTTTATTTCATATATAGTTTTCTTACAATCTCTTCATTTGTTTTTCTGTCTGTCCATGACATTCTTCCAAGTGTTCGGAATATCCATGTTTCAAACGCTTTCAGCTTTTTCTCTGTTATTTTATTTATTGTTCAAGTTGCTGCATCGTACTACAGTGTTGACCACAGTGTGGCGTTTGATGATTCTCATTCTTAGTTGGAGATTTATTTTTCTTGATGTCAGGATTTGTTTAATAAGAAATTTTCGCTATTGGTATTCTTCTTCTTCTTATCTCTTCCACACATGTGCCATCTTACGTGATTAATTGTCAAAGGTACGTAAAGCTTCAACTTGTCTAGTTCTTCTCAATTTATTGTTATTTTAGCTTTATGCTTTTGTTTCTTTATTGTTGATAACCATTGTCTCTGTTAAACTCTGATCTGGGTATTTTATTTATTTATTTTCCATTCGATTACTTTTTACTTGTATTTGGCAGATTTGTTTTCTTTTGAATTAGAAGAACGTTTCGTTTAGTAGGTTATCAGTGTAATACATTTCAGCTTACTTTAAAACAAATTAAACTCTATTAGCTGTTATTCCCAAAGATTTTGTCAAAATATAGTTAAGTGTTACGTAGAATAATATAGTGTAGAAAGATGTCTGAACCAATGATATTCAGAGTTCTGTCAGCCTATAGAAAAAGAGAGTCGTCTGAACCAATTACATTTAATATTCTACAAACCCATAGAACATGAAGTTGGCTGAACCAATTACATTTAATATTCTACAAACCCATAAAAGATTAAGTTGTCTGAATCAATTATATCCAATATTTTACAAACCCAGAGAAGATTAAGTTGTCTGAATCAATCACATTTAATATTCTACAAGCCCAGAGAACATAAATTGTCTGAACCAATTACATTTAATATTTTGCAAGCCCAG